TCTCCCAAATGACAGTCAGGGCTTACATGTGAGTAACTTCTGCTCATCCCATGCAACTTTTTAAGCTGGTTTTATCTCTTGCACCTTTTCTTCCAGCTCCCTGAGCACTCAGATACATTCTGCCTGCTTTTGTGGAACAGCTCTTTCCATCATTTCTCCTTCACAGTCTGCTCATCATGGAACCACAGAATGGTTTGGGCTGGAAGGGACCTTAAATGTCCTCTCTTTCCACCCCCCTGCCATGGGCAGGGACACCTTCCACCAGCCCAGGTTGCTCCAAGCCCCATCCAACCTGGCCTTGGACACTTCCAGGGATCCAGGGGCAGCCACAGCTTCTCTGGCCAACCTGGGCCAGTCCCTCCTCACCCTCACAGCCAAGACTTCCTTCCCAATATCCCATCTAACCCTACTCTTTGTCAGTTTAAATCCATTCCCTTTGTCCTGTCCCTCCAGCCCTTGGAAATAGTCTCTCTCCATCTTTCTTGGAGCCCCTTCAGGCCCTGCAAGGCCACAATCAGGTCACCCCAAAGCTTCTCCTCTCCAGGCTGAACAATCCCAGCTCTCCCAGCCTTTCCTCCCAGCAGAGCTGCTCCAGCCCTGGGATCCTCTTGGTGCCTGCTCTGGACTCTCTCCAGCAGCTCCATGTCCTTGCTGGGCTGTTCCTCAGGGCTGGAGCAGCTCTGCAAGGAGGTGTCACAACAGCAAAGTAGAGGGGAAAATCACCTTCCTCAACCTGCTGTTGATGCATTATTTTATTCTCAGCTGTCTCTTGCCACTGTGAACATTTCTAGACCTGGTTAAAAGCTCAGAACCAGCCCAAAGCCCATCCTAGTCGAGCAGGGGGACATTTGTACCAGTGCTCATCAACTCAGGATTTGTCTCCATTGGTCCCCCTGTGCTTGGTAACTCCTCAGGGCAGGGGAACAAAGGCTTGTGAAGCAAAAAATTGGTGATGCCTCCCTCTCCTTGTCCTGCAGGGGAATGTGAAGTTCAGATGCTCCTGACGAGCTCCTCACCCTGAAGAGAAAAAGCTGAGTGGAAGAAAAGAGCCGTAACCCGAAGACGTCCGTGGTGAGTCACAAAACCACTTGAGGTGCTTTTGAGGGAGAGCATCTCGTGTGTCATCCTTTGCTGGTGGCTGAGGCTGAAGCAGAGAATCTGGTCCTGCAGGGAATCTGGTCCTGCAGGGATTCAGAGAAGCTTCCAACTACTTGGCTTTGAAGTGAAGGGTGGCCTTTGGCACTGCAGGAGCTCTCCCTCCTCCGTTGGGTGTAGCTTTGGCAGCCACTTTAAACTCCTTGCATACCCTAGACCTGCTCCTTGCCCTTCCCTTTCTCCTTCTGGAAAAGAATGTGTTTATTACCCCTTGGCATGCCCAGGGATGGCTTTGTTTCAGCTGAGTCTGTGCCTTCTTTGACTCAAGGAGCACTTGCTCCCATTCCCGAAATTTTGGAGCCCGAGGTGAGCCTCTTGCATCAAGCAGGATTCACACAATCCCGGGACATCCCACAGGAAATCTACACTAGGAGCAGGTAAACATTTATTGGACCAGTTCAAAGGCTTTGAACAGGGACAGAGTAAAGGCTGAAGATGGAAAACATCCACGGTTCACAAAGCTGGGATCCCACTCCCCTCCCGGGGCAGGAGATGGACAGGCCACGCACTGGAACACATTTTCAGCAGCACAGGCCCGGGGATAATTTATGGGAGTTTATAATGCTAATTCCTAATGTTCCAAATGTTATATCCTGTGCAGAGGTGGGCAGAGTAATGAAGCATTAAGTCTGGCTGCAGCTGAAAACCTGGCTCTGTCTCGGCTCCGTGCCCGCGACTGAGAGAGAGTCGGGACAGAGCCAAGGAGCTGAAAACTGTCTGGCATCGCTTCCTGACGGTCACAGCGACCCAGGGAGCACACGGGGGGGGTGTGAGGGTGTGTGTGTCACACACGAGTGCCACATCCACGTTTTCCTGCTGCCTGCTCCCCACCAAAGCTCCGACAAGCTCAGGGATTAAGCTGAACGTTCGGCTTGTCAAAGCCGAGCCTGCACCTTCCGACCTTTTGGCTCGTGCTGCTCAGACAAGACTTAGAGACATCTTTCAGCAGGGCCTAACTGGGCCTGGGAGACACAAAGGAGGGTTCCTCCCCCTTCCAGAGGTAAACTGCTGCTGAACCCTCGGCACCCTGTTCACCTGCCTGATGAAACATGTTGGGAATTACATAAGACCCAGGGATATTTGGTTTCCCGAGCAGCCGCGGCGAGAGGGTGGCACCTACCAGGAGATTATCCCTGAGACACGTTTGCAGTTGAACAACAGCCTGAAGTGCAAGAATTCTGAACAGCTCAGAGGTGGGGGTTGGCATTTCCACAGTCCCCATTTCCACAGAAGTTTTTGTTTTGTTTTGTTTTGTTTTGTTTTGTTGGATTTTTTTTAATCAAACTTGTAGAGATTTGCAAAACCTGGGTCCAGATTTGTCCCAAATTGGGACAAATGTTGGGTTTTTTCCAATTCCAAGTTCATCTCTAATCTTTGGAAATGTGCAAAAAGACTTTTTGGTGATTCACAACTGGACTTTTTATAGAATCATAGAATGGTTTGGGTTGGAAGGGACCTTAAAGATCTTCTAATTCCAACCCCCCTGGCATGGGCAGGGATACCTTCCACTAGACCGGGTTGCTCAGAGCCCCATCCAGACTGTCTTTGAATGTTTCCAGGGATGGAGCAGCCACAGCTTCAATTCTTCTTCTGTTGGGAATCAATGCAACCGAATTTTGCATGAAAATTACAGATATTTTGAATTCAGACACATCCACTTATATTTTGAATTCACGTGGAATATCCTGAGTTGGAAGGATCATCCAGTCCAAGGCCTGGCCCTGCCCAGGACACCCCAACAATCCCCCCTGTCCCTCAGAGCATTGTCCAAACACTCCTGGAGCTCTGACAGCCTTGGGGCCGTGCCCACTGCCCTCTGGGGGAAGAACCTTTCCCTGGGGTTTATGCACCTCAAAAGCTGGAGATTTACTCTTGTAAGAACCCACCTGGAGTGCTGTGTCCAGGTCTGGTGTCCATGAACAGAAGAAGGACATGGAAGTGTTGGAGCAAATCCAGAGAAGGCCACAAGGTTGATAAGTGACCTGGAGCACCTCTGCTATGGAGACAAAGTGGGAAAGTTGGGGCTGTCCAGCTTAGAGAAGAGAAGGGTGTGTGGAGACCTCAGAGCCCCTTCCAGGGTCTGAAGGGGCTCCAGGGAAGCTGGAGAGGGATGTTCATCAGGAACTGCCCTGACAGGACAAGGGGGAGTGGGTACAAACTGAAAGAGGGGAAATTTAGGTGACATATTGGGAAAGAATTCCTGACTGTGAGGGTGGGGAGGCCCCGGCACAGGTTGCCCAGAGAAGCTGTGGCTGCCCCTGGATCCCTGGAAGTGTCCAAGGCCAGGTTGGACGGGGCTTGGAGCAACCTGGGCTGGTGGAAGGTGTCCCTGCCCATGGCAGGGGGTGGCACTGGATGGGATTTCAGGTCCCTTCCAACCCAAACCATTCCAGGATTCCACGGTTGATATATCTGGGCTCAGTGGAGATGCCCAGTGTTTTCAGGTTCTGGTAGGAGTTGGATGGTGTCCTGTGACCCAGGGAAGAAGGAAACCTGTGTTCTCCACCTGAACATGTTTCCAGGGTTGATGGATGTCCTTCAGCTCTTAACTGCCTCTTCCATGCTCCCATCTCTGCAACAGAGGGATAATAATTCCCACCTTTTTGGCAAATCCAGGTACTAGGTGGGATACTGTTAGCAGGGACCACATCTCATGGCAAGGATTATATAAAACTCTTCATTTCCCAGCCACTTGGGAAAACATTTAATTCAGTTTCTTACCGAATACAACAGCAAAATTATTCTTAAGAAGGCATTAAACCAGATAAATTATCCCCCTTTTTCTCAGTGTATGGGAAAGTTTTACTTAGTAAACAAACTTTCCCTCCTGCTTTAATTGGCTGTAAAAACATGTGGTTGGTTTTTCTTTTTTCTGATTTCCCCTTCAACCTTTTTATTGTGTCCTGCCTAAAGCTGCACTAAGGTTGTGGTCAGGACACTTGCTCAGTCCTGCCTTTATGTTGTGTTCACAGGAGAGATCTGTGAAACGTGGACTAGGGAACAGCAAACATTGCATGCCTTTAGAATTGTGAATTTTGGTTAAAATTGAGGAAGTTTTAAAAGAAAATATTAAGTTTACAGTACTTTCTGTTGTCTTTTTTAAAATGTGTTTTGGGGTGGGCTTAAAATTCTCTGCTGTGAAAGTTAGGGAAGAAAAGCCACATAAGTTTCAAGTGGCAAGAAAAATGCCATATCATGAGAGTCAGGATGACACACAGGAATCCTTCAATCTCCTCTTTGTGTGCTGCCCCATTTATATTCCAGCTAATTGGGAACAGGGAAAAGAAGAGGGAAATGTTGGGTGCAGGAATTAACTGGGATGAAAAAGTGATGTTATATCAGGCACCACAGGCTGTGGATCTGAGAGGCCACACTTCAAATCCTGTGTTCAGTTTTGGGCCTCTCACTTCCAAAAGGACATTTGAGGGGCTGGAGTGTGTCCAGGGAAGGGAACAGGGATGGGGAAGGGGCTGGAGAACATGTCCTGTGAGGAGCAGCTGAGGGAGCTGGGGGGGTTTATCTGGAGAAGAGGAGGCTCAGGGGGGACCTCATTGCTCTCCCCAACTCCCTGACAGGAGGGGGCAGGGAGGGGGGTCAAGCTCTGCTGCCATGTCCCAAGGGAAAGGGGGAGAGGAAATGGCCTTAAATTGCCCCAGGGCAGGGTCAGATTAGGGATTAGAAACAATTTTTCCCTGTAGGAGTGGTCAGGCTTTGGAATAAGTGTCCCAGGGAGGTGGTGGAGTCCCTGTGTCTGGGAGTGTCCCAGAGGTGTCTGGATGTGACCCTTGGGGACATGGATTGGGGGTGATCCTGGTGGTGCTGGGTGAGGGTGGCACTGGATGATCCTGAAGGTTTCTCCCAGTCTTGGTGATTCTGGGATTCTGTGACTGATACAGCAGCTGCTGAAGTCTGCCTGGAGTAACCTGGTGACCTGAGCAGGAGATGTTTGACCCAGTTTGGCTTTTTTCAAGCAGCACAGTCTGACACCTTCAAACAACCAAACACGGGAAGGGGCCGTTCCCATCCCACGAGCCCCTTAAATCTCCTCACCCCCATCCTGTGCCGCTGCAAACCACAGGATCCACAGGAACCCCTTAAGGAAAGCCAGTGTTTGGGGGGGTCCTGCCAGCACCCAGATACTCCCAGGAGCTTCCCAGCTCCAGAGTTACCAGGATCCCTCCATCCCACCCCGGAACGGGCCAGAGGCCGCGGTTCCCCACACGCCTGAGCTGTGCCTGCCATCTATTGGTGTTACTTTGGAGTCCGGATTCCCACTCTTGCTCCTCACACAACAGTTTTTCTAAGGTTTGTAACCACCAGGGTAAATATTATGACGCCTTTTGGTCGGGTTTAGCCCAGAAATGCCTCCGGTGGCCACGCCCTTGATCCCTGAGGGGGGAAAAGAAAGGAGTCGGGGACTGTGTGCTTTGTTTTCCTACAGCCCCACTTTCATGGGCAGCCAAACACGTGTGTTTTCTCAAAGCCAGGGTTTGTGATCTTAAAATCACGTGACATGAAAGGCTGTGGGGTTTCTTTCCTTCCCTGCAGCACCGTGTGAGGTGCAGCGAGACACTCCCTTCCTTGCTGAGTGCAGAGGGAGAGGGCCCCGTGCCATTCCATGTGGGAACTGCTGGTTCAGCTCCTGGGATTCTGTTTCCACGCCACAAGGTCACAGAATCACAGGATGGTTTGGGGTGGAAGGGACCTTAAAGCCCATCCAGTGCCACCCCCTGCCATGGGCAGGGACACCTTCCACCAGCCCAGGTTGCTCCAAGCCCCGTCCAACCTGGCCTTGGACACTTCCAGGGATCCAGGGGTAGCCACAGCTTCTCTGGGCACCCTGAGCCAGGGCCTCCCCACCCTCCCAGCCAAGAATTCCTTCCCAATATCCCATCTAACCCTGCCCTCCTTCAGCTTAAGGCCATTATGCAGGTCTAACAAGGTCTATCTCTGCTGCTCCCTCACCCTGCTCTGCCCAGCGCTGCCTCAGGACACAAAATCCCAGGCTTTCCTCTCCAAAAGCATCCCAGAAATCTGGTGTTTCACTGGGGGCAGCAATGCAGATTTACCCCTTAAATACTGGCCAAAAAATCTCTGCCTTGGAGTTGCTCTGTGGGTTGATCTTAATTTTTCTGTGCCCTCATCTTCTACACGTTGCTGGTTTCCTTCTCCTCAGGTGACTCCTCTCTTGCCCAGAGCATTTACTGCTCTTCACCCCTGTGGTTATGTACATTTTTTTACATCATTTCCCATTTTGTAGAAACCCAAGGAGTGGGATTCACCCAAACTCTGCAAACAGAGACCGAGGGGTAAATGGAAACCACTCCAGAAATGCATCTCTTTGTAGAACCAGGGATGCTTTGGGTTGGAAGGGACCTTAAAGATCAGCCAGTTCCACCCCCTCTGCCTTGGGCCAGGGTGTCACCTCCTTCAGAGTAAAGAATTTCTCCTTAATATTTGATTTAAACCTGCCTTTCTTCAGCTTAAAGCCGTTCCCCCTCATCCTGTCACTCCAGGCTTTGTGAAAATTCCCTCTCCAGCTCTCCTGGAGCCCCTTCAGGCACTGGAAGGGGCTCTGAGGTCTCCCCAGAGCCTTCTCTTCTCCAGGTGAACAGTCCCAACTCCCACAATAACCAACTTGCCTTTCAAACAGCTCCTTGGAGCTACCCAAAACAGGGTGGGGAAATGAGATTTTAAGAAACTTATGCCACAAATCTGAATTTAAGCTGTGAAATGATCGGCAGTCCAGCCCTCCAGACTCACATTCCTGAATTTTAGCAGCGTAGGCAAAACCTCTGGTGATTGTAAAGGCAATTCAGGGGGGAAACGTTCAACCCAGAGGCTTAAATTCGGTGATGTGAAACCCAGATTAATAATTTTTCAAGATTTTCTGCCAAGGAAGTAGCAGGAATTGAATGGGAGCCTCACCCATGTGGCCCAAACTGATGCTCCCATCACCAGTGCCTGGAGAAAAAGTTCATATCTTCTTGTATTTTGCTGTGAATGAATTCCCTGAAGCCTCAACAGGAATCTAATTTTGTCCTAAGTCTTCTCCTACCACTGAAATCCATAAAAGCCTTGGAATGAAACCCTGTGCTAAATGTGGCACCTCCAGGAATTATATTCCTTTACTTTGCCTCGTGTGAGGGAAGGGAAAGAAAAATCATTGCTTCATTCTCATTAATCACTTATAGTCGTGGTTATTAATATTTTAAAATATTGGTTTTCCATTGGTTTTTGGGGCTGGTTTTATTTTTGGTTGGTTGGTTGTTTTTTTTTTAAGATACAGGAAGGATTATGATGTTGTCTAAACTCTGAATATCAAGTTTGCACTGCCTGACCCCTTTAAAATCTGAGTGAAATGGAATCTTCTGAATCTGATTCTCTCAAATCCTCGACATTAAGAGAATAAAATTGATTTAAAAAAAAAAAAAACCTAAAAAAATTCCCCAAAACAAAAACAACCAAACAAAAAAACAAAATCCAGTTTATCCAACCCTTTGATATTGTGATTTATGAAATAAAGGCAAAGCTGGGCTACAGATTATTTCCTTGATTTTTTGAAAGTTGCTTTAGGGACAAAAAAATAGATTTCAAAGTGGAACAAGACTAAAACCGGCTAAAATGCAGGATTAAGGGTTAATAATTAATTTTCCTCCTTTTTTTTTAATGTGGTTTTGTTCGGTCAGGACCTACATCCATTTTTTTATTTTTTTTTTTCTTTCCAAGACCTTCTCGTGACCCAGAAATCCCCAAGCGGTGCTTCCAAAAGGAAACACTCGGGTGTTCCTGAAAATATATCATTTCCTGAGCCCTTTCTTATTACTTTCACCTCTGTTGGCCTCCACTTCCAGAAATTCAAAGTTTTGCTCCCGGCGGCGGCCGACGCTCCCGGAACTCTGGAAACGGGATTGCAGAGCTCGGGTTTTCCCAGGAATCCTGGCTTAGGAGACCGAACAAAGCTGGTGGAACCATGGCCAGGTGGTATTTTCATCCATAAACTTCTGACCGGCACTGAAGAAGGAAAACAATAATTATCTAATAAAGAATTTCAGCCCCATTTCGGCTTGAAAAGCGACTTGGGCTGGTGTTGTTTTTCTCTGAAGGAAACAGTGATGAGTTCGGGCTGTTACAGGCTTTGCTAAAAGCAAATAATCTTTGATTTTATCCTTATTTTCGGGCACAGCAAGAAAAAGAAACGCAGGCCTTGGAGTTTGCCTGAAATGTTTGCTACTCATGGGAATTCCTCCATCAAATCACCATCCCTGGGGTGTTCCAGGAACGACTGGAGTGGTTGACAAGGTGGTGATTGGTCCCAGACTGGGGTTAAAGCTCTTAAAAGTGTTTTTTAACCTAAATTATGCCGTGATTCCGAGTCTGCAAAGTTGCTAATACAGCTGTAAAGATTATTTTCTGAGCCACGGCCTTAGAAACCGAAACCGGGAGGGAGAAGTGTTTAAATAGTCACCCAAGATCTCTCTCTCAGCTCGGGCGCTGCACTAATTGATCTCTTAATTGGCTCAGTCAACACAGCAGTTTCCATCACACAACAAGCACTAATTGCTACAAGATCACTGTGAAATGTTAAATACTCGGAAGGCAAAGGGAGTTGGTGCTAAATTGACTGTACTTAGGCCTGAGCGAGGGTTTTAATCCAGAGACCCCACCCCCGAGGTTTGTAGGGGTTCCCAGGTTGTTTTTCTCCCCACAGACAGTGCTCTTAGAGCCTAAAATGGAAATATTTTTCCCCAGGTGGAAAAAAAAATGGGAGGGGAGAGACTTATCCAAGTCTTATCCAAAGGCCAGAAATAATTTGTGAAGGTTATCAGCAAACACACGGACCTGCATTTAAATATAAAATTAAATATAAAATATAAATATAAAATATAAATATAAAATTACAGCCACGGCTGCTGCTTGAAGGTGCCCTGAACCTATCAACCAACACTTTGGTTTCAGCAGGAATCAGAAGCAAAGAGCCAAAAATGACAATTTTTTGGTCCCCATAATGTACCTGGAGGCTGGATAAAGCTCTGAGTGAGGGTGGAGTTTGCTCTGATGGGTGGGAATATCAGCAGGGAGGAATCTGTTGCTCCCCTCGGGGTGGGATTCATTCCCTGGGGGGGTGGATCAGTGGCAAAGTGCCTGAGGAAGTGCCTCCAAGGGTGTTTGGCACGAGGCAGTTGCACCCAGTTAACTCAAGGTGTGATTTTTAAAGGAGGCCAAAAATCCCACAGGTTTCCTGGAGAAGCTGTGGCTGCCCCTGGATCCCTGGAAGTGTCCAAGGCCAGGTTGGATGGAGCTCTGAGCAACCTGGGCTGGTGGAAGGTGCCCCTGCCCATGGCAGGGGCTGGAATTGGAGGATCTTTAAGGTTCCTTCCAACCCAAACCATTCCACGATTCAATTATTGATATATCTGGGCTTGGCTGAGACATTTATGGTCTTCAGGTTCTGAGGGAAGTGGATGTTGTCCTGTGTGCAGAGTGGGAAGCATAAAGCCTTGGCCCAAGACATTTTAACACAGCCTGGGTTTATAAATATTCTAAAAATTCTATTTTCATTCCAGTGGGAGCTCAAAATACACGTTGAGATCTCGAAAAGCTGCTGCAAAGCCCTGAGGTCAGACTAAGTTTGGTCTGCAGTGCACCAGCACAGCTGGACAGAGATTTTCCTCGGAGAAGACACTCAGATTTTTCTATCAGTTTTGTGGAGAAGGTTTTCCTAAATTTACCAGGCCACAGTCAGCATGACATTGGTAATTTTTGTAAGTCAGATTCTGGAAATCGAGCTTCCAGCATTAGATCACTGGCTCTGTGTTAGGATGGGAGCTTAACCTTAAGACTAATCATCAAGACTAAGGAGCAACGAAGGAAATGGAAATGTGGGAAGATTTATATCACTTAGAGGAAAGAGAAAACCGAGGCAAACACACAGCAGTTAAGAAATTTTAATGTGATTTTTAGGGCAACCACTAAAATCACTGGAAGTGGGATCTGAGTGGGATTTCCAACATCCAGACCAACCCTTCCTTTGCTGCCAGGGAAAACTCTGAAGGGGAGGAATTTTCTCTCCAGTCCCAGTGACAGGACAAGAGGCACGAGCAGAAATACAGAAAATTCCATTTAAACAGAGCAAAACTCTTACTTTGAGGGTGCCCACTGCGGGTTCTCCACCTTGGAGCAATTCCAACCCCAAAAGTAGGGTTGGAAGGAGATGATCTGAAGAGTTTCCCTTCTGGTGATCCTTTGAAAACTAATTTGGAAAATAGAGGGAAAACGGATTAAAATGAACAGTGAGTAAAGCAAGAGATGATGCATTGTATCCTAAAATCTTTATTTGAAATCATTTTCCCATTGGATGAGGGATACACAAGGTAGGTACAGGATCCTTCTGAAGTGCTGCTTCGTGGAGAACTGTTCATTTTGGAGCAGGAGCAACAGGGATGGTCAGGGATCAGCTCTGGATCGAGCTCAGGAAAGGACAGGAAGTCTCAAAAAAGCTGCAGCTAAAAAGTCAGTTTAAAAGTCATTATCTCCTGCCACAAACACACAGCACATCCCATCTGTGTAATGACATCCCAGCACCAGGCAAGGCAATTAAACCCCCATTCCAAGGAGGATCCCAGAGGAGTTGACATGGAAGCACAGTGGAGGTGAGGAGGGGGAGGGCACCACAGATGCCCAGGATCCATTAGGCAGGACGTTAATTGGACTCTGGGCAGTGGAAAGCATTAAAATCTTACAGAAAAATCACAGCAAATGCCATTCTCAGGAATTTTAGCAATTATGCTCTAAAGAGCCAAATACTCTAAATGATGAAATAAATGCCCTGTTTGTTGGTTTGGTTTTTTTTTTTTTTATATAAAAAAGCCAGACATGACTTCAAAGCCTGATGGGTGTCTCTTCCTTTCCCAGGTTTAAGCTGGAAAGTTGTGAATTCCCAAGAACTGGCAATAACTGTCGTGGTGGCTGAAGAAGCCCCGTCGTGTTTCCAGTCTCTCAGGTGCCAACGGTGCATCAGGACACACCTGGTGTGAGATGATCTTCTGCCTCTGAGGTGCCACTGAAATTTGGCCCCATTTCTGTCACAGAATCAAAGAATCATGGAAAGGTTTGGGTTGGAAGGGACCTTGAAGATCATCCAGTGCCACCCCCTGCCATGGGCAGGGACACCTTCCACCAGCCCAGGTTGCTCCAAGCCCCATCCAACCTGGCCTTGGACATTTCCAGGGATCCAGGGGCAGCCACAGCTTCTCTGGGAATTCTATCCCACACCCTCATCACCCTCACAGCCAAAAATTCCTTCCCAATATCCCATCTAACCATATTCTCTGTCAGTCTAAATCCGTTCCCCTTGTCCTGTCCCTCCATTCCTTGGAAATAGTCTCTCTCCATCTTTCCTGGAGCTCCTTCAGGTCATGGAAGGTCACAACCAGGACACCCCAAAGCTTCTCCTCTCCAGGCTGAACAATCCCAGCTCTCCCAGCCTTTCCTCCCAGCAGAGCTGCTCCAGCCCTGGCATCCTCTTGGTTCCTGCTCTGGCCTCTCTCCAGCAGCTCCATGTCCTTGCTGGGCTGTTCCCCAGGGCTGGAGCAGCTCTGCAGGGGGGTCTCACCTGAGGGGGCAGAGGGGCACAATCCCCTCCTGCCCTGCTGTGGGATGAGTCCAGGACACTGTTGGCTTTCTATTCTCATGGAGGGTGGGATGGAATCGAAGTTCTCTGCTCCAGCTGGGACCAAGCTGATACTCCGGCTCGGCGACCACGACTCCGTTCTTGTCCTGTTGCTCATCTGTGCAAAATTCAATTTTATGTTCCCATGGAATATCAGAGCAGACCTGTCTTTAAAGGACCTTTTTGTTTTCCTGGACTTCTGCCTGGTGGTGTTTTTTTGGGGCTGGTCCCAACTCCTCCGTGGTAACACCCTCAAGTTTACCTTTGTTGAGGTCGGTAAACTCTTCAGAGCCAGTGGAATTGTGTCAATTAATACCCAGACTTTTCAGGAAACACAAAATCCTGCAGGTCAAATGTATTTTTGCCTAAACCTAGAATCAGGAAACACAGGGATATGATCCCATAAAGTTTGGTTTCACAAGTCTAGCAGGTCAAATCATAACAATAATTAGGATTTGATCCTACTCCTTCCTACTTTGAGGACATCACCAAGTCCTGAGAAGAAGGAGTCCAAAAATGATAAGTGAAGTTGTACCACTGCCTGTTTCGAAATGTACCTCAAAAATACCACATATTTGAAAGAGACTGCTGTCTCTACACTGCACTTCAATTATTCATGCTAAATCAATCCCTGAAATATCTGTAACCATTCCGTGTACGAGACTCTGGTCAATTTGCAAATTATTTTTAGGCAAAATGGGCAGCAGAATTCTTCTGAGCTAATTGCAAAATGCAGTTGTGAGTGGCCTGATTTGAACCCAAGTGCCTGAGCTGCTGCTCTGAAGATGGGATATTGGGATGAAATATCCCTGGAAGTGTCCAGATGCTCCAGCCCCTGTTTTCTAGGACCGGCAAGGGGGTGGCTGTTTTACAGAACACCACTCCAGGAGGTTGCCTTGTCTGTCTATAAATCACACAGATGTAAATCCAACCTGAAAGCAGGAAAAAAATCCCTCAAAACCCAAAAAATGCCCTGGCAATTCTGCACAGCTCAGGTCCATAAATGTGGAATTAATGTTTTAGCCCAGTGGTACCAAGGAAGAGGGACAGACTGAGCAGGAGGGCCAAGATCACCTGCAATGAGTGGTGTGATTTGAGCAAAATGACAAGAAAAATCCAACAAAAATCCTCCCATGAAGGAAATAATTTGTCAGTCTGTCCCACACTGCCCTAAAGAACAGGGTGAGCTTTCGGGTAGAGAGCAACTGGTGGAAGGGAATTGCTCACTAAGGCAAAGAGCTGGTGTCTATATGGTACCTATAAAACTGATTTTAAAGTTCACTTGCAGGTTATATAAAGGAAAAAAAGCTGGACCAGCACCCTCAGCATTGTTGGAGGTGTTTAACCAACCTGTTCTTGAAGATTTTCAGTGATGAAGACGAGAGATCTCCTCAGAAATTTATTCC